CCCCCGAATTCCCGTTTTTCCCCCCATTTCCCCCCCGCATTCCCGTTTTTCCCCATTTTTCCGTCTTTTCCCGCAGGTGAAGCGCGCTCTGGTGCAGCTGATCAGCGCCATGGCTCACCACGGCTTCCTGGAGCCGCCGGCTGGGGAATCTCTCCTGGAATTCCTGATCCGCCAGTGCGCCCTGCCCCCGGACGAGGTCACAATTCCCAAATCTCCTCCCCAAATTCCCAATTTTCCCCGCCCTTTTCCCTTCTTCCCATCCTCTCCCATTTTTTCCCCCTTTTTCCTGCCTTTTTCTCCCATTTTCTCCCAATTTTTTCCCTTTTTTCCCCATTTTTTCTCATTTTTCTCCCATTTTTTCCCATTTTCCTCCCATTTTTTCCCATTTTCCTCCCATTTTTCCCATTTTTTCCCATTTTCCTCCTACTTTTCCCATTTTTTCTCTTTTTCCACCATTTTTTTTCCCGTTTTCCTCCCATTTTTCCCATTTTCCTCCTATTTTTCCCATTTTCCTCCCATTTTTCCCATTTTTTCCCATTTTCCTCCTATTTTTCCCATTTCCCTCCCATTTTTTCCCATTTTCCTCCTATTTTTCCCATTTTTCCTCCCATTTTTTCCCATTTTCCTCCCATTATCTTCCCATTTTCCCTCCCATTTTTCCCATTTTTTCTCTTTTTCCTCCTATTTTTCCCATTTTTTCTCTTTTTCCACCATTTTTTTTCCCGTTTTACTCCCATTTTTTCCCATTTTCCTCCTATTTTTCCCATTTTCCTCCCATTTTTTCCCATTTTCCTCCTATTTTTCCCATTTTCCTCACATTTTTCCCATTTTTCCCATTTTCCTCCTATTTTTCCCATTTTCCCTCCTATTTTTCCCATTTTTTCTCTTTTTCCACCATTTTTTTTCCTGTTTTACTCCCATTTTTTCCCATTTTCCTCCTATTTTTTCCCATTTTCCTCCTATTTTTCCCATTTTCCTCCCATTTTTCCCATTTTTTCCCATTTTCCTCCTATTTTTCCCATTTTTTCTCTTTTTCCACCATTTTTTTTTCCGTTTTCCTCCCATTTTTCCCATTTTCCTCCCATTTTTCCCATTTTCCGCACATTTTTCCCATTTTTTCCCATTTTCCTCCTATTTTTCCCATTTTCCTCCCATTTTTTCTCATTTTCCTCCTATTTTTCCCATTTTCCCTCCCATTTTTCCCATTTTTCCCATTTTCCTCCTATTTTTCCCATTTTTTCTCTTTTTCCACCATTTTTTTTCCCGTTTTCCTCCCATTTTTCCCATTTTCCTCCTATTTTTCCCATTTTCCTCACATTTTTCCCATTTTTTCCCATTTTCCTCCCATTTTTTCCCATTTTCCTCCCATTATCTTCCCATTTTTCCTCCCATTTTTCCCATTTTTCCCCTTTTCCTCCTATTTTTCCCATTTTCCCTCCCATTTTTCCCATTTTTTC